TGCGGAAGGGTTGCAAAAAATGTATTTAAGTACCTATTATTGCATCATTATTTGCAAAATTATAAACATATAAATGAAAAGACTAGGGAGTTCATTGTGTCAATAACCGTACTTAATTACGATTTGGAAACGCTGCATTTCAGTTGTGGGCTGTGGCTTTAAGAGTAGCTATCTTCACATGCTAATTAAGTCAATTTGTTTGTATTATTGTGTTGTGATAGGTGTGATATTTTAGGTAAATACTGAGTATTAGATTTTGTTTGATTAGGTACTGAATTACAAGAATTACCAATGGAAGAATGACAAACTTCATATTAGTACAAGATCCGAGGACTACGGAGAAGTTGTTTTAATGATATTAACAAGCCAACAAGTATGCATATATGTTCCTTGTACATACTAACACTAAGTATATTCTTATTCAACAAATTTTGATACTCAGAAAATAGGTAATGTCTCGCGCTGTGTATTGTTTCATACGAAAAGAGATTTTGAACATATTTATTTGTAACATTATTATTGTTAGGTATGGAAGAAGATATGCTCATTAAAATCGAACCAAAACAAGAAGAAGAAATCCATTCCTTTCTTCAGGAACACATTTCATTAAGCAACGAAGTTGTGGTAACAGTAAAGGACGAAACTACCATTAGTACATTGTATTCAAAATCTCTTTCTAATGCAGTGCAGCAACACTCTGACTTTCAACGTCACCTTTTAACTCAATGCAAAATAGTGTCTAATGGTTTTCAATGTGTTGATTGTGATTATGGGACAAATAATAAACGCAACTTGAAGCGACATCTTTTAAAACATAAAGTTTCTAAAGATTTTAAATGTGCTAATTGTGATTATGAGACAAACGATAAATACAACTTCAAACGACATCTTTTAAAACATAAAGTTTCTAAAGATTTTAAATGTGCTGATTGTGATTATGGGACAAATGATAAACCCAACTTCAAACAACATCTTTTAAAACACAAAGTTTCAAAAGATTTTACATGTGCTACTTGTGATTATGGGACTAATAATAAACACCTCTTCAAACGACATCTTTTAAGACATAAGGTTTCTAACGATTTTAAATGTGCTGATTGTGATTACGGAACGCATGATCACCGCAACTTGAAACGACACCTTTTAAAACATAAAGTCTGTAAAGATTTTAAATGTGCTCATTGTGATTATGGGACAAATGAGAAACGTAACTTCAAACGACACCTTTTAAAACATAAAGTTTCGAAGGATTTTAAATGTGCTGATTGTGATTATGGGACAAATGATAAATCCAACTTCCAGCAACATCTTTTAAAACATACAGTTTCTAAGGATTTTAAATGTGCTAACTGTGATTATGAAACATACAAGAAGGAATATCTTCAAATCCACATTTTAACTCACACAGTGTCTAAAGATTATAAATGTTCTAATTGTCATTACAAGACCAATAATAAAACCTACTTCAAACGACACTGTTTAACACATAAAATTTACAAAGATTTTAAATGTGCTAATTGTGATTATGAGACAAAATATAAATCCCATCTTAAACGACACCATTTAAAACATGGAGTTTCTAAGGATTTAAAATGTGCTGATTGTGAATACGCAACAAATAATAAACGTAACTTCAAACGACATCTTTTAAAACATAAAGTTTCTAAAGATTTTAAATGTGCTGATTGTGATTATGAGACGAACGATAAACCCATCTTCAAACAACATCTTTTAAAACACAAAGTTTCGAAGGATATTAAATGTGCTATTTGTGATTATGGGACAAATAATAAATACCTCTTTAAACGACATCTTTTGAAACATGAGGTTTCTAAAGATTTTAAGTGTGCTGATTGTGATTATGAGACAAATGATAAATGCAACTTGACACAACATATTTTAAAACATAAAGTTTTAAAGGATTTTACATGTGCCGATTGTGATTATGGGACAAATAAGAGATCAAACTTCAAAAGGCATCTTTTAAAACATAAAGTTTTTAAATGTGCTGACCTTGATTATAAGACCAACAATAAATAAATATAATTTTAATAAGCACATTTTGAAACATGGTTGTAAAGATTTTTTTATTGTACCGGCATCACAATCTCCCTTTTAAACACTTTAAATGCGTGCGAAAAAAGGCCTTTAAAACACACATGCTTTAAAGTTGCTAAGTAAAGACCAATTCATACTATAGCTCAGGTCACGCTTCGCTCAAAATATTGTAACATGCTATTTCAATAGGAATATTCACATTTGACGGTCAGGTCACGGTCAGACCATGTTTATAAGAAATACAAGCTACAATAATTGATCGGACCGTGACGTGACCGATACTGTGAATTGGCCTTTATGATACTTCAAGTATGACTTTGGAAACTGTCATCTGGGTGAAATAAAAATCCTCTTAGGTCGCTTTCTGTAAATGCAGAACATTTCTTTGGCTTGTACCCTTTGGTTGAAGCTTTCACAAACGCGCGTAATTTACGGTATGCTTCCAATAATCTGTTCCACTTTTTAATCGCAGCATTGCTTTGAAGTTTTGAATGAATGCACCAAAATATAGAAGATTTAAATACCTTTGACATTTCCTTCATATGTGCCAGCATTATCGATGCATTTAAGACTTTATTCGTAAGTAACTTCCTTTTCATCCATGGAAACAACTTATCATATTCTTTATAATAGGCTTTGCTGGATTTGGATTTTACACCTACCAGAGCGTTTGTTTAGATTTAACACACAAGCGATTTAATGGACGGTGTATGATCTTTTTCAACGGAAATCGTTTTATTCACAAAGACGATGATTTTTATAAGCAAACGTCATGTGACATTTCCATGGCAATCGTGAAATTACGAACACCCAGCCCACTTAATTAGACATGGGCGCATATGCTTATACTTGCAAAATTCAAAGTAAATACTCGTAAGTGCCCCCTCACACTGGGCGACTTAGCAGCGCCGCTTAGCTACGGGACGGGACGCAGTGCAGAGTTGCTGAGCAGCCCAGTGGAAAGGGGGCACTTACCGAGTATTTACTTTGAATTTTGCAAGTATAAGCATATGCTCCCTTTTATTCATATGGGCCATTTATTCAAGTATAACGCCAATATGATTTGAATGTATTTCCTATTTTTAAATTATACTGCAGGTATAATAAAAAATGCTATAAGACACGTGTATAATTGATCTTTAAAGCACTTGCAACGTTAAAGGCACTCCGCTTCGCGTCGTGCTATTAAACTCGTTGCGCGTGCTTTAAAGACTTGACTATACACTTGAATCTTAATATACTATTAATGTGCTGATTGTGGATTATGGGACAAAAAGTAAAATGTATCTTAAATCGCACCTTAAAAACATAAAAAAAGAGTTTTTAAATGTGATAATTTTAAAGTGAAGTCTGCTGTTTTTGAGATAATACCTTAATCCTATCCCACTTGAAAGGACTTTTTCTTAAGAGAACTCGAGGCTGTTTTGCATTAGTTTGAACACAATTATATAATAATTATATATAATTACAAATAAAGATCACAATCTAAATCACTCAATTTCTTGCGCACTCGTACTGTATAACAACTCGCCGACATCCCCGTACGTCGATTTATGTTTTAATAAATGACGATTTAAATTTTTCTTACTATTATGTGGCATACCTAATTGCACGTAACATCCTTGAATGTGGATATGCCGCTTTAAGTTATGTTTGCCGTGGGTAGCGAAATTACACTGATCATAAATCAAATTTTTGAGAAGGTTGTGTGTTAAAACCGGACATATTAATTATAGCGTAATTACACTGATAGCAGTGGTAGAAAGTTAATCAAAGCAGAGTGTGTGAAAGATTTATACATATCTCCCAGAGCTACAAGCGTAAAAAGCGCTTGCGAGCGGATTGCTCGATATTCGAGCGTCTACTTAAAGTGCTCGGCGCTTTTTCTGCCCGCGAGCGGTTTTTCCGCTCATGAGCGTTTTTTTTCGCTCGTGAGTGATTTTAACCGCACTCAAGCGCTGAGGGAGCGTGTTTTCCGCTTCCGAGTGCTTTATCCGCTCTTGAGCTTTTTTTTCGCTCACGAGCACTTTTCCCGAGCGCTCACAATAAACAGCTCGAGCACTTTTAGGAGTGCTCGGAACTCGCAAGCGGTTTCGCTTTGCAAAACAACTCAATGCTCGCGAGCACTTTTGAGAAAATTAGAGCGCTCGTCGCTCAAGCGGTTTTTTCAGAACGCTCGACCTAGCTCTGGTATCTCCTATTTTTACCAACCGCACGTCAGTATAAGGCAGGTATGCATTAGGGTAAAAAATGACCGCCTACTTTTTTTTACGGAAATACACGTTTTGAACCTATCAAAATTTCGATCTGTCAATACTGGAACCAAATCTGGTACACGTCATAATATTCCTCGACATAAAAGCATTTGAACAGAATCGCGCACGCGCAGGTGGTATCTACGCCAGTCACAACATTTTTTGTTATGTAATTGCACTGTTCACAATTAAAAACTTTCGACATGTCGCGTGTTAGACGATGATTCTTTGTTGGTTGTGTAGTTGCACTGTTCACAATTAAAGACTTTCGAAATATTATACGTTAGACTACGATTTCTTAAATTATCCTTATTGTTGGTTGCATAATTGCATTGATCACATTTGCGCTGCACTCAGCACAACGAGACGGCGACGCGATGCAAAGCGCCGCTAAATCAAGATTTCACATTTTTAAATGCGTGGGGTCGTAAACTGTAGTGTAGCTATTAAGGGAGAACGCATCTATTTAAAAACATGAAGACAAGATTTCATGTTTTTAAATGGATGCGTTCTCACTTAATAGCTACACAACAGCAGCAGTTTGCCAGCTTAAAATAATCTGGCTAGGTGCGCAGCCTTTGTATTTCCAACCTCAATTCAAATCTGTCTATTCCTCAGAGCAAGAAGTCTATTCCACTATCATCTATGAAAGAAATCATCTGCAACACATTAAATAAAGTACAATACTGACGGGTAATTATTTAATACAAAAAATGTATACAACTGTTTCGTTTTTAGATTTGAGAAAATAAAAATTACAACACCCACGATCGTTTTAAGGATCATCCAACATTATAAGATCTTCATCTTCGTCTTCTGGCGGATTTAACTTCCGTTTTTTTGTGGAAGTACCTTCTTGAGGATCATCATCATCGACAGGTGGCGCGATAAACTCCACATCATTTTTATCATCGTCCACTTCCATATCATTTTCTTGTTGTGCGCTTTTGTCAGTACTACCGTTCTGTCTACCGTTTTGTTGGTTGGGCTGTAACTCTTCACTTTTTGCATCAATCTTAAATAACGGCTCATCCTTTTCAGCTATGTAATTCGTAATTCCAATGGTTAAATTGTAGTTTTGGAGGAAATCGTCTGCTTTTAAGATGCTCCCGTCGACAATTCCAAGTGCGGATAGTTTCTTGTCGTTATTAATCTGCAATAAATTACACTTATTATTAAGAATGGAAAAGACAACACAACAAAACAGAGATAGGTATATGAAGTGAAAAGAACATAAATAAATAAATTATCATTCAAGATGATGCTAACCTCAGTTTCGCCTTCCTCGGAGGATATAACAAAAACTCCTTTTCCATCGAGAATAACGTCAGGAGCAATCATATTCAACGTTTTCTTCAGCACTTCGCTTTCGAATTCTTTCACAGTCATTTCCTCCACATTTACGTAGACGGAAACATATGGTTGTTCCGCACACACATAGCAATTAGGATTCGCCTTATCGATGAAGAAATCGGGAGCCAAAATGATGTTGGAATGTACCGATTTCTGGCGCAAATAAATAGATTGGCATTCTTCATAGTCCTCTGCGAGTACACGGAAGGCGATAAGTACGACGAGTCCCGCTATCATCGCATTGGTGGTGGCAATGGCGGGAATAATATTTCCGGCGATGGCTGGAAATAGAATTACTAAACACGTTTTATGAAAGATCACGCACTTACATTTAATATCCCAACGTGATTTTTTCGCAATTGAGAAAATGTGCGCCCTTATATTGGCGCAAGCGGTAACGAAGTTCAGCGCGACCTTATCGTCCTTATCCCAAATCAAAAACTCTTTATTTACAAGTTCCTTTTTTAACGTGCCAATCGTCGAGGAGAAGATTTCTGCGCACAAATACATCGGCCACACTTCCATATCCGATGCGACATCATCCGAGATCTCCTTCTTTTCGCCTTCGCACGCAGTCGCCGCTTCCCAGGTTATCGGCTCCGGAGGTTTACGCGACTTCCACAGGTTCTCCATTGATAGCAGGTAGTTAATGTCGTCGTTGAAGAATTTATTAAACAGTTTGACGTCACTATAATCTGTCTGTTGTGCCCATTGTCGAGTAGAGGTTCGCTGAACGTTTCCCGCGTCTGTCGATTGATGCAAATTGTTAGCGACACTTCCCGCCGCTTCCGGATCGGCCGTGTCGGGAGATACGTCCTGGTCGGGATCGTCTTCGCCAAATAATTGACTGCAAGTAACACTTTTCCATATCAACTCATAATTGAAAACAAAAAATTAGTAAAAATGGAACAGGTGCCCATTTTGTAACTTGATATGAGTCAACTTCATGCTAACCTAACCAGGGTTGTTACCACGGAGTAAAATAATAAGGTATGTATGGACTCCATATCTTTAATATAAGTACAATGTGAAATCGGTTTATGATTGAGGAGTTCTATAAAGTTTTCTTACGGAAATCACGATAGCGTACAATTACTCCAAAACGCAGGGCGAACGGAAAAAGATAACAAACAATCTAGACTTCCATAGAAATCGCAATAAATTGATGATGGATAATTAATTAAATAAAATTAATTAATGATTAAAATTTTAATAAAATCTATTGATCGCTTTTTGTTTTTTTTTCTCATTTGTTTGTTGTTGCCGTGTTACAATACAATATTTGGTGTGCATCAACCGCCAGATCGATTTGTTCCATCAGAGTTTCCACTGTTCAAAACATTTTTTTATTCTTTCTTAGTAGTGGCAGATAGCTCCTTTCTGGCGCTGAAAGCTGGGTGTATCCCTAGGATCCTCCAACGAAACAAGAATCGACGCAGTATATGAATAAAAGGTTTTCCGTTGATTGAGTACATGAAAACGGGTAGCACAATTAACGATGATGTTTATAAAGAGACTATTAAAAAAGTTTTGCCATTTAGGAGAAAAGTGTTTGCCCAAATATTGCAAGTTATCGATGAATGTCACTTCCAGGACTTAAAACATCCACCCTATACTCTGGATTTATCAACCTGCAGCTACTAAGTAGCTTTTCTTCAAGTTGAAAGGCATCTAAAAGGTCAAAGATTTGCTACTGATGACCTGAAAGTTGCTGTTAGTGTCTTTTTTGAACAGCTACCAAAACAATTTTTTGAAGGTACATAATAATTGTGTGTAAAAATAAACCCATAAAGAGAGTTGAAAAAAGCTGCAGAGCACCTCGGGGTGACCCTACAGAGTCATTGGATTTGATCCATTTTCAATTGGCTTGTTACATGTGGTATACAGGGTGATTTTTTTTTCATTTTAAGCATTAGGATCTTGGAAACCGTAAGACATAGAGATTCGGTTAAATGAGGAAAGAGTTGTAGTTTTAAGAGCTTATTCAAAATATGCTTTTGTTTTTTAAAAAAATCCACAGTTTACTAGATCTGAGCGAAAAACAGATTTAGTGATTTTTCTTTTAAATGTTGTAGAATCGTTAGTATTAGAAATACAGAAATATGCAAAGAACAAAAATTGTAGATTTTTTTCCGCTTAATAAGATAGGTGCATTTATTAATATTTATTCTTCTTTTATAATTTTCGAGTTATAACGGAAACTTACATTTTTTAAATGGTAATCATAGTTGGCTGTGACATTTTTAAAAAGTGCATTTTTTTCTGTTTACAATGATATAAAGTTCATTGTACTCACTTTGACAAATAAACATGATACAGAACTATTAAGAGTAGTAAAAACAGATTTTGCCATGGGAAACATTTTTGTTCTCTTAATTACTGCCTATTATAATATTTAACTTGCAGTTAGTTGTGCGGCGGGGCACCGTTGTGTTGAAACCAGCGTAAATTACGTCGTGTTTCCAAATCTAACCCATCCTACATATCTTGAAAATTGAAATTCATTTGGTAGAAAATGAAGATAACATTGGCCTGTCCAATTTTCGTCGTAAATGAAAGGTACCTATCTCACTAGATGTTGTTTTCCATGGCAAACTCTGTTTACCTCTCAATAATACGAAAATTCCTGCAGCGCGTTTGTTTATTAAAGTACATTTAGCAAGCCTTATATCGTTATAAAGAGAAAAATTTGTCCTTTTTAAAAATGTCAAAGCCAAGTAGGTATGTTATCATTTAAAAAAATTAAAGTTTGTATTATAACTCAAAAATTGTAAGATCTAAACATAAATTAGTATGTTCATCATGTTAAGCATTAAAATGTCTAAAACTTTTATTCGTGTCATTTTGTTGTATATCTAATAATAACGATTCTACAACAGTTAAATGAAAAATCACTAAATCTGTTTTTCGCTCATATCTAGTGAACTGTGGATTTTTTTCAAAAAACAAAAGCATATCTTAAATAGGCTCTTCAAACGACAACTCTTTCCTTATGTAACCGAATCCGTATGTCTTATGGTTTCCGAGATCCCAATGCTTAAAATGCAAAAATACTCACCCTGTATATGTTAACTGTGCAAAGTTTGAACCAAATCGGTCCAAGCGTTTGACAGTAATCATTTTTTTGTAAAGTATGTCAAAAAATCATGTTTCATTTGAGCACGATGTCCCTTTTGTCCCAAAATTTGCGTTTCTTCCTCAATTTTCTTCTGAGCAACCGTAATAGACAAAATGTCTTACCTTACTTGTGAGTACGTCGTTTTCATTGTACAATTTTTTCTAAAATTCCTATACAAAAATGATGCATCCTTAAACGGGGATGCAGAAACAATTTAGATGTCCACAATATTTGGGAACTTATGAACGTTAGTTATGAAAAAATTGAAAAAAAAAATGCCGTTACAATTCCTAGTCTGACAACCACAATGAAATTTGTTGATTCTTTATAGTCTAATAGTGGCATATTTTTAAACTGTTTTGTTATTGTTGATATTTGCATAGAAGGCAGCAATTTCGCGGATGGCGTGGTGGTAGAATTGAGTATTCACACAACAATAATAATTCAAAAATAGTAACAGACAGTTATAAACAACATAGGTAAATAGTGCCATTGTTTCGATCACTGCACTCTAAAACCTAAATCCATTATACAACTTGTTTCATCCATGGCACACTTATTTTAGCTATAACGAAATAAATCTAAACATGCAGTTTTCTAATAAAAATTGTTATCCTTATCTAATATTATATAATATTATACCATTGAAATCAGAATAAAATTCTCTACCAAATAAGAAAAATATAGTTCCATTCCAAATAACAAAGTTTGTATCCAGAGTTTGTAAACCACTGATTGTAAAATTTTTTTTCATGCTCATTAAAATAGTCTTGTTTAATTGTTGTATTGTTTAATCAACTGTGTAACTCTTTATAGTTTTCAAGAGTAGACAAAATACTATTTTCACCTACCTTTAACACCGGGTACATGTTGATTGGCTGGGGGCCCTACATTCAAAGTACATAGTTAATCTACTTAACCCCATACATTTGGTTTGTGAAAAAATAAGTAATGTCTGGAGGAGGGGATTGTTTAATGTCCTTCCTCTTAATGTGAACTAATTGTAAGAACTGTAAAAACTGTGCTTTGGTGTGATACTGAATACCAAAGTTCAGTAATGTTCACATTAAGATGTCCAGCATATTTTTCTATCTTTTTTGTTGTTGACCTTTCAGAAGCCGAGGTTGAAGTCCAAAGATCCCTAGATACTAAATTTTGTGATAACCAGTTTCTTTGGCGTAGTTGAAAAAATGTTGTTTAGATATTCTGGATAATGGTTATTGGAAAAAATTAAATAAATGACTATTTGACAACATAGTTTGCAAAAGAAATTCCCTAGATTCTTGGTTAATTTTTATTTGTAAAAAAGTTTGCTTTGATACCCTTCACTATTTAATTATTTATACGGTACACCCTGTATTTAAAATGTGTCTACACTACAGGGCCTCTCTTTTCATTCTTAGGTAAAGGCATGATTAAACATGTCAAAAGCTCATCTGCTTATTATATAAGTTAGTAATTCATACATTTCAAATTACTGAATAAGGTTTTCAAAACATTATCAATTAGCATTGGTGAAAGCTATAAGGATACTTACTTAAATAAATGTTTGGCCCAAACAATACAATGAACGGGCTCAGACGGAGTATTTCTGATGGTACAGCCAGGGAACGATTTCTGAGGTGGTTTCGGTTGACACTCGTAACATTGCGTAACGCCTTTCTTAATGAACTGCACTTGACCGGAGTATCCGGCAGTGCCCGACTCAATTAACGGGACATCTGCGGCCAAACACATTCGATTAACATGGTTGCGAGCAGCCCTATTATCTAAAGCGTTTAGGACGACACTGAATCTCTTGAAAAAATTAACGCCATACTCTTGACTGAAATTGCGACGTTTACCGCATGGGAAGACGCGCTTTGAAACTTACCTAGTAATGCTATCGTGATATGCTTTAATACTGATGTCTGGATTGTAATTTAAAATACTTTCCTTCGCCACCTCGGCTTTCGATTTGCCGACGTGCTCCTTACGAAACAGGAATTGTCGGTTAAGGTTACTAACGTCTATCGTATCCAAATCAATCTGCAAGTAAACAAAGGTAAATGCGGTCACGGAGTTTCTGAGACGTACTATTTCTATGTCGGAAAAACCGGAGAGGGCCAAATTTTTTAACACTTCGCAACCAATTCCTCCAGCACCGACAACCAGAATTTTTGCTGTTGGTATAAGTTCGCGCACGTTGTCTTTCAACACGGAGGGAACGGCCGATGAAATCATGTTGAAAGTTATTCACGAACACTGAACTTTGAGTCTTATTTTAATTTAATTTGCCGAAAATACGAAACAATAACATATATATACTTCTCTTATATATATGAACAATAACCACGAAATCTGAAATGACCGACGCCGACAACAACGAAGCGGACTGCGCGCGGCGCTCTCTGGTGGTAACATTTGCGGTTGATATTGGCGGGAAAACTTAGACCATTTGTATTTCTTTTTTGCATCTGAGATGATTACGCTACTTTGGATTGTACAAACTACCAACAAATATAGCGAAGGTCTTGCCTCTAATGTTCACAGAAAGTCGACTTCTCTTAAGATTGATTGAAAAATGAACATTTCTGAAAGATTATAGCAGAGATCCGGACCGGACCGAAATAATACCGAAAACCGTACCGGAACCGTTTGTTTTTTGGAACCGAAATCACAAACGGGACCGTAATTCCTTCCCTTAAAAAAAGAGAACCGAAACACAATCTGTTTAACTTTACAACCCCTTAGTTTTTTGTGAATGTGATTAGCGAACTAAGAAAAATGGGACGCAATGCTCATAAAGTCATAACATTTAAATGTTATGAGCATTGTTTATGAACAAAATATTTTCTGTCTGTGTCAGTCACTCTCCTAGCCAAGTCCATTCTAATTTTGAATTAAGTAAGCAGCTTACATCAGTCTTCCCGCTCTTCCGTTTTTTTACTTTTTACTTTAACCGTATATGACCAATCCGGACTGTTGGAACCGAAAAAAAATCGAAACCGGAACCGCAATTATTTTTACAACCGGAACTCGGACAGAACCGTTAACATATTTTTTCGGTAAAAGTGTCAGAACCGGATCCGTTATTTTTAGGTAATAGCTCCACATCCCTGAATTTTAAGGCCTGGAGTTGGCAGAAGCAAAGATAGTATCCCAGATTTAAATATACTATAAATCTGTGGTATTATCTTTGACAGAAGTGAGAAATTAATTTATTAATTCAATGTAATTTGGATGTTATATGTTAAACAATTATTAATTACCTACGGTAAATTGTTTATTGGTAGGTACATAATTGAAAATTGGTATGGTATGGATTCCTTCTTTTGTGTTGTGCACGTGCACCTCATTCACTTCACCCTTTGCGATCTTGACGCATTTTCCGTCAAGCAAGCGAAAAGTGATGAAGTTTTAAAAGGTGGCCAAAGCTCCAAATCACTAAATTTGTGACGCGTTTTCATTCTTTTCGTGTACTTATTTTTTTAAGAAAGATATCTAAAATAATTATTTCACTTGTCGTTGTCTTTTTTTTAATTTTTTGTATATTGATTTTAGATTTTATTTTAATGTCACATTTAATAATCGTAATTCCAAATTAGAATTAATTTAGTTTTGCCGAAGACGAACATTTTAGTTTTTAACTTAGATATTTTTTTCTCCGTTTTTGTGTAATAAAACCTATTTTTTTTTATAGGACACTTTTTGTAAGTTGTAGTACACAGAAAAAGAAAGTTTTTCGAATAATTTAATAACAATGTTGCGTTGCTATTTGACAAAAAAAGTTCCATGCCGTTGCGGCGCTCCAAAATTTTGTTCACAAAACTCCGGTCCGTTGTTTTTCGTTTCCATATGCCTACATATCCAAAATCCAGGGTCGCCGTTAGCCTCGACGGGCGCCTGGAATATTTGTTGACCGGGCCCCTATTAATAATTGAAATTTTTTTTCCATCACCCTTATCTTAAACTAGACATTGTCAATCTTGACTACTTGGATTTGAAAGGATAACACTTGAATATTTTCATACAGACACAGCAGTTTTCATAATTGATTATGAATTGTTAGAATTCAAATAACCAAATTACAATTTAACTCTGCGGATTTTCTTACTAACAAAAGTGAACATCACTCGCTCAAAATTAATTTCTCTAACATGTTGAGCTTCAAGAGCTAATGTGCCGAGATTGATGTAACGATCTTGACCCATAGTCGATCTCAAACGGTTTTTTTTACCGAGTCTTCTACCACTGTGACGTAATTAGGAAATTTTGCTCAATGGTATGGTTTTTGAAGTCTTCTGCTGTGCATTTTTTTATATTCCACTCTGTCATATAGATATATACATATGCAGATTTTTGTTAAAAAATACAATTCAAAATCGCTTTTGGCCGGGCTCCCAGAATATGACCGGGCCCCGGAGCAAATGCCCAGGCTTACCTCCCTTATCGGCGGCCTTGCTAAAATCTGATTAAAATCCGTTGTAGATACCGCATACGTACAGTCATATCTATGGAACCGTTAATTGGGCAGCTTGGGGGAAAAAGGATTTGTCAAAAGATCTCTGGAAATTGTTTTCAAGTTTCTAGGTTTGCCGCTAGAGGGCGTGAAAATCGTCTTGCATAATTATTTATCATTTCAGTACATTCTCATAAATAAAATAAAGCAAGTAACTGTTTCAATTTTGTCGATCACTCACCTACCACCACCGCGCCATCCGCGAACTTACTGACAGACGCTCGGATATGTTATTCATTAGCATATACATTAATTATCTTATATCCAAATATCAACAATAATAAAACTGTTTAAAAAATGTGCTACTAGCTCTCCTACTATTAATTTATTCATTTCTTAGTGCATAGTCGGAGTAACAAAAATATGATGTCAATCTCGGGCGGTGTTTATCGTTAAAATCAAAACTCGGTAATGACAAAACTAAAACGTAGTAATGGGGTATATATACTGTAATGCTCTTAGTATCTTGGCGGCTAACGCCAACTTCAAGTCCCACCGGAATATTTGACCATATTCTGTAGTAGCGGGAATGCCAAACTAACATGGCTGCTTATTTGAATACTCTCGCTTAAGTTTCCCGCAAGAATCTGTCACCCGGGGGCCACTCCGAGTGCACTAAGATCGTGATCGTCATGTAGGACACCTACGTTGTGTAATAACTGGGTTCTCAGCAGGCACTGAGGGCGTTTTATGGGCAAGGAACACCAAAAGGCAAAAGCAATAGCTGATTAAGATTATATTGAAGCTAATACCAATACCAATACGGCACCCCTGCAGAGGTTCTTAAGTGGTTCTATACTACTTCGGCATTTACCTTACGAATTAGGAAAACTGCAGGAAAACCTAATTCGGAGTAGTCCTCTATTGAACAAAGCCTACAGCTAACATCTAATGTACAGCACTTTTGAGCCCTCTCGAAACCGGGGTAAATACTACATACGCGCTATGAGTAACCAAAATGGAATCGAGCCATTCCCCAGGTATTACAACACATACATCAGACAAAACTAAGAGATACCTATTAAACATACCCCGCCGGGCGGTAGGATTACCCAGGCCCAGTGGGGTGCCTGTAGACGTGGGCTAAAGTTGTTGGGTTTTGGAACGAGTGGAAATGTTAGTGTTAGGTTCACCAAGGCCCGTATAAACTTGAATAACTCGATCCCCTCTAAACAAGCACACTTCACTCTTGATTACTCACAGCTCAAATAAGCAAATACAGGGTGGCGCAAAAAGAATGCATGGATTTTAAATGGCTATAAGTTGGTTAATTTTAATCACACCAAAATTTAATCACACCAAAATTTAATCACACCAAAATTTTAATTACAATCATCAAACAACCCAATTTGAGAGTTGGGTGTTAGTAATTATAAAACACTTAACTAATTTTTAAAAATAACATCGGAAAGATGGCGTCCTCCTGCATGAATACACATTCCAGTCGATTTACTCTTCAACACTGATCCTGTTGTACGAAACGTGTTAACCCAACGAAGTATCGTGTTGCGATCAGGTACCGAACCATTACGCGCGACATTAAATTGTAAACGAAATTTTCGTTGAACAGTGATGACAGATTCATTTGATTTGAAATAGTGTTCAACAGCGAACACTCGATGCTGCACGTTCCACTGCTCCATTGCTACTAAAACTGGACGCTCCAATCAACAAAATGGCGTCGCTCGGCGGTCACTGACCGCTCCCCTCCACTAGTACTACGTTACTCAAATTCATGCGTTCTTTTTGCGCCACCTTGTATAATAAAATGCAATGAAATAATCGAGAGCGACTAAAAAGCACAATGCACAAATATATACACATGCAAGTATGCACAGCACAGATACAGCCCTACCGACAATGAAACATGATTGCCAATACCAACAAAGGTTACACATTAAGAGGTACAACGTACAAGTGATTGAATCCAGTAAGTACCTACATAAGTAAAGGGTTACAATCTGCATTTAAGTTACGCACATTTATTAATAATAAAGCAAATACCTCACCTGATATAAAAAGCAAAAGCACACGGCATTGATTAAGATATAACAAAATATTTTGAGGTAAGCCGTACTTTACACTTAAGCCGGCTACAAGAAAAAGACCCTGAACACACATGTTAAATCGTATTTATTGACTAACCCAAGTCACGCTGTAATTTGATCTAACACCCATAAAAACCACCCGAAAATCGGCCATTCCCTGCAATTCACGCATTTCTAGGAAAAAACCGGACTGCAGGTGTTTGAAATGGTAAACACATGTTGTCTTCCGGGAAATTCCATCTGTCTCATCTTCGCTCTTTTCCTTTTCTGTAATCCCACCAGATTTTGGTTGGCAGCTTGTGTAACTAACATGATGTATAGGGTGCTTCGTATCGACAATCATATTCACAGGACGTTGCTAAGGTTGGGGCATCTCAATACGAACAACTTACCAGAGCTGGGTAAAATACTTTTCAAAATCTAAGTATTTAAAATAGAAAATACAAAATAAGAAATGCTAATTTATTGTTAATACAATATACTAAATAGGTTTAGGTATATCTATTTAAAATACCAAATAGAAAATAGGTAGGAATTTCAACTAAATATTTCAAATAAGTGCTTATCTACCTGTTATATTGAGAGATTATTATAATAAAATAAGAACATAAAAATCGTTTGCCATGATTTAACCATTTGCTTTAAGTAAAAGCAGTTTTTCAAGATGTGTCATAATATTATCATTCCTGCATATGAGAACAAGCGTTCCACAGAAACCGACGAAGGAAGTGTATTGTTATACTTATACCATTGCGAATAATAATGGTTATACTTAAAAAACATTTCTCTTATTATTGTGTATTGATCCAACATAGGCAAGTCCATAGTCATCACTAAAACCATAGAACGATACAAAATTAGCTTTTTTACATAGGTTCAGAAATGTTTCAAATATAAACTAGAAAATACCTTGAA